CCATGATCTCGACGAAAGTGGCGCGCCAGGAGCTCGCAGGCTGAGCCGTCTCGAGCTTCCCGACCCGCTCCTCCACTTCCTTCTGGGACTGTTTGATGCCCGTGACGCCCCCCTTCAAGGTCTGGACATTTTCTTTGATCGGGGTCAACATCTCCTTCATCCTATCTTCCTGCTTTCCCAACAAGCTCTCCTCAGCGCTCGACCACCATGCCAGAGGCGAAGCCATCCTGAGAGAAGTATGAGACGAAGGATGTGGTAAGGTGTGGCCAGGTGTGGTCTGTATTTATGCTGTGTTCACACCTGAAATATTGCACTTATGCTGTGTTCACTACTACTACCACTACTACTACTACTACTACTACTACTACTACTACTACTACTACTACTACTACTACTACTACGACGACTACTACTACTACTACGGCTACTCCTGCGACTACTTCTAGCACTACTACTACTACTACTACTATTACTACTACTACTGCTACTACTACTACTACTACGACTACTACCACTACTACTACTCCTATCCTTATTCCTTATTAGAATATACTCCTACTCCCCCCTCAGGCCGGCCATTAGGGGCCGCGTCCGGGTGGTCCCATCCTAACATGTAAAAAACAATACAAAATCAACATTTTTCTTATTTTTTTCTCTCGACACGGACGTCCTGTCGTCCACGGCGGTAATCCATTGCAAAAAACACAACAAAGAGCACACGCACGCGTTCATGTCAGAATCCTACCGAACACAATGTGTTTGCAAGCATTTCAACATAAAAACATCAAAAACCCAATGCTTTTTTCCACAAAAGTTGTACAAATTTCCCGCCCGGGCTCTCTTGCTGAAATCATAGGAAAACCATAGGAATCTTAAGAATTCGGTCAAATCCAGCGATTTCACGTCATCGCGCGGTGCGCTCGCGATGCTCTGTCATGCACCCAGGCCGCGAATCCTGTGCAAAAAATACCACAAAGAGCACACTCGCGCGTTCATGTCAGAATCCTACCGAACACCGTGTGTTTGCAAGCATTTCAACATAAAAACATCAAAAACCCAATGCTTTTTCACAAAAATGCTTTGGGGTGTCCTGTCAGACCGTCGGGCTTCCTCCGGCCACCTCTGGCTTCCTGCGGTGTACCGGGCCATTCTCGACTCGTCTGGCAATGCGTGCGCGGCATTCAACACGCGCTCGCCAGTTCCCGTCGGCAACCGCCATCGCGGCCGCATCAGCTGTACCAAACCGGCTGGCCGGTGTGACTTCGGCCCCCAGTTGTGCCAGCTTTGCTTCTTATGTTGTGGGAGGGCGGGTGGGGCTGGGCATGCCATGCTTGACTCGCTCGAGCTGGCTAGCTTGACTCCTACTCCTACTCCTACTCCTACTACTGCTACTACTACTACTGCTATTACGACTACTACTAGTACTACTAGTACCACTACTACTACTGGGACTACTACTACTTCTTCTTCGTCTTCTTCAACTACTACCACGGATACCACTACTACTACTACTACTACTACTACTACTACTACACGACTACCACGACTACCACTACTACCACTACGACCACTACTACTACTACTACTACTACTACTACTACCACTACTACCACTACTACCACTATTACGACTACGACTACGACTACTACTACTACTGATACTACTACTTCTACGGCGACTACTACTACTACGACTACTATAACTACTACAAGTACTACAACTACTTTTACTATCTATACGTCTACTACTACCACTACTACCACTGCTACCACTACTACTACTACTACTACTACTCCTACTACGACGACGACTACTACTACTACTACTACTACTACTACTGTCTTTCTTCCCTCAAGGCACATGCGGTTCGCATGCCTGCCCGCCGCTGGGTATAACGGGAAAATGCGAAAGGAATATGTCGAGGCACCATTCTGCAGCGAGTACTTCGGCATGGAACGCCGATGGCAACGCGCAGAGCAACTTTCCAGCGCGGAGCAGGAGGTCTCTCTCCAAGGAAACGCAATATGCGATAAAAGCGACACCAGCAGCTGATTCACCCGAGCCGCGCCTAGCACCGTCGAGACATGGACGGTCATTGACTGCGCTGGCTCGTGCCCTCTGCGCGCCATCGCTGCGCGCGCATCCAATCCGCCCCCCGGCCCAGGGCTTTATTGGCAGCGTCATCTGCAAGGGCGTTAAAATCGCGTGGGCCCCACTCAACGAACTCACTGGTCTGCTTCCGGGGCTGGATGTTCAGATGATGAAGTTTCAGCAGTGACCTGGAAACGCGTGCGAACAACGGCCTGTGATGATCACCTTTCAAAACTGACGCGCCGCCGAGTACATGAGCAAGCTGACAAAGATGTTCCCAGGATGTCACTGGATGCCCTGCTCTCGAACGCACGATTCCCAGCCGCCGTCGTCTTGAATAAGTTGCTAGTATTCGCGTTGTCTCCCACCACACTGTCGATCGGCAGTCGCGTGCTTCTGCAGGCGGGTTCTCGCCGGAATCTAATCTCCAAGAGTGCGCGTCTCAATCAGACTGGTATGCAGCACGCGTCGCACGCATGGAAACAGAATCCAATCCGGCTGCTGACATCCACTTTGCGATACAAGTCGAAGTTCGCTGGTTAAACAACATTGCCGATTCGTCGGGCCGGCGGCGAAAACGAAACATCCTCCGTGCAATCTGAAGCTCCCACGTCCTCAATTTACGCAATAAGCCGGCAGTAAGGCGCCAATTCTCTGAACCGCGCGCGGCGCAAGCTGCAGGCCCCGTCGCCCGCGCCCGAAGCCGCTTCAAGACTGGTGCACTCCGGCTCTGCAAGGCGGACAGGTGTCGGTAGTGGCATTTCTCGGCCCGGCCCAACTTGAAGTCCGCGCGTTTGCCCGTGGCTCCTCTGTGGTCCAGATATTCCCCCCAATAACATCAACCCGTCTTTCTGTTCGTAAAATAACGCGGTTCCGCGTTGTTCCAAAGAGAAGCGTCCGATCGACTTATCCGCCAAAGACACGCCGCGCATGAATTCTAGCGACTCTGGCTTCCACTTCAAGCATCGCTCTCCGCGAGAAGTACGATATTGAGCGATGAACTCGTTCAGCTGTTGTATCATATGCTGCATCATACCTCCCCCTGTAGCAGACAAAACTACGCTGCCGGCCCAGATCGCATGGTTGGCGAGAAGACCAGATTCTCTATCACCGTCGCCTGGTAATCTAAAACCAATTCCAGCCTCCATCCATAATCTGACGAGTGGCTCTAACACGCGTTCTAGAAGTGCCCTCCACTCATCTGGAGTTTCCACTCCGCCCTGCTTGCCTCCTTTTGTAAATGGGAACCGTCTAGTCTCACCTACCAAGGGTAAGCGGATGCTGGATTCAAGCCCGCTCAGTTCCCGCGTGAAGAGGCCGACGGAGTGCGAAGACATCCCACGAGCGAGCAAGGACTCCTTCACCAATTCATGCGGCATGGAGTCGCACGCTATCAAAACATCCTGGCACCCGACTATCACCGGCAAGCCCCAAACGTGAGAGAGATGAAGAACTTCGCGCACCAACCCTGTCATCTTCGTCGTGGAAGTCCCAGATCGGAATCCGTGCGAGTGGGCGTGGGATGGGCGCAATTGGTCCCGGAGCCTGGGACGCAATGCTCGCATATACCATGTTTGAAGGTTGGCCGACTTACAGATCCAGCGCAGGTCTTCGAATCGTTCCATAATTTTCGTTTTTGGAAGGTTTATAGATTCCCAAGTGCACCAGAATGGCGATCGCGGTGCCGATGGGCCCAGAGGAGCGCACTGCTGAAAAAAGTTCATGAATGTGAAATATACATAAGAACGGGGTCATGTGATACGCGTCCGGAATAATGCCATCTGCTCCTGGCCCCCCTCCTTTCCGCAAGGAGGCCCTCGCTTGCATGACGTCCCAAAGCTCGACAATCTCACCGCCGCGGCCGTCCCAGCGATCATAGCGAGCTGCCGACCAAAGCTCTTGCATCCGTTCGTGTTGCCTCGAAGGTGGGTTGTCCGGGTCCGTGAAGCGACCGATGCCGAACTGGACTGCCCCCATCCAACCACTCCTCTCGGTCGAAACTTTGGATGCCGCCGATTTCGAAGGAGGTTGGTAGAGTACACGGTTCCTTGGTACTGTGTTTCTTCAACCCTTCTAGCCGCTTATGAGAAGCGGATGCTGCAATGGCCCTCCGAGACACCCAATGCAATTTCAGCGGTGATCTCCTCCTCCCCGTGTCGGCTTCGATCCGGAGGAGCGCCCGGATGTCCTTGATCCGCGCGCGGCGCTGGGCTTGGCCGTCGTCTTCTGGGCGATGGCAATCGGCAGAGAAATACTCATAGGATATCTCGAACATGACCATCCCGAACTCATCCAATTGAAAATTAAAAAAACACCGGGCCGCGCAACGCATGATCTGAATGCTTCCCGCACCGACGCGTCGGATATAGCCCGCTTGGGAAGTCGCCTAAGTATTTGGTGTGAGGCCGGGCCCTGAGAATCAAATCCAGAACCGTCTTTCCACGTGATCTCGGCTTTGACGGGTCTGTGGTCCATCTTCTTCATCAAGCGGCTTTCATTACGGATGTCAAAATAATTAATGGCACCCCCAGCACCCTGCAGTATAGAGGATACTCCGATGTAGTCTATCTGAGATCAATCCTCCGGCCGGCGTTTCAGGCCACACGTCCAAAGTTCTCCACCCGACGCGCGGGTGGCATACGAGTTGACCGCTCGTATTCCTAAAACCTCCATCCAAGAAGTGTTCCGGCGCTGCATTCGTACAGTGTGTGAGCGGAGAGGGCTGAGCACCGCTTCTCCTGTTGCGCCTTCTATACTTCCTGGAAGCGTCACGTTGGCGTCAAAACCGCAAATCACGCATAGATCTCGTCCAGAACGTCTCTGACAGTCCCTCCAATATGCTACCGTCTCCTCCCGCGCCTCATCAACAAAATCGTCTGCCTCATACTCTCCCTCATTCCCCTTGTCGTGGATAAAATGCGCATTTAAATATAATGTATAACCGCCTGGGCCTTGTGCCAAGACAAGGCCACCCCACTATTTGCCGCGCCTCTCGCCCCTCACCTTCGGATTCAGGCTTCCCCGCACCAAGAAGCCACAATCGAATCCACTTGCCCCGGCAAGTTCGGCCCTCTTGGTACGGCAGCTATGTACAACATACCTCGTGCCATTGATTACGCGCCCACTGGTCCACTTCGGGATCTCCTGCAGGCGCACAACCGCATCCCCAGTACCCAAACGCGTCAAACTCCTGGAGATCCGAAGTATTTCAAAAGGATTCTTCTTGTGCGCGTTGTAAGTGATAACCGAGCATCCTCCTCCCCCGGTGCTCGAATTCAGCGGCGGGCACCCCTACTGCCTGGTGAAAGGTCCCTTCCTCCGGACCCGCTTGACTCCTTCTTCTGCGGCTGTCTTGGACAGGCCACCGATCCGAAGCCCCTCATCATGCCATACAATACCTCCACCAAGCTGAACTTCGCATAACACGATAGTTGCCTTAACACCCATATCCCCCTCCGTGTCGGACTTGTTGATGACCACGCTGAAGTCGGGGCTCCAACGCACTTTCGGCTCCAGCGTCGCGTCGATCCCATCCCGTACCCAGTCCTTGACGCGCCCGAGCTTGGTATACTGCGCCTGGACGTCGGGGTGGCGCTCGGCGTGCACGTAGATCACGGTGTCCGCCATTTTCCATTTCTTGTCCTCCTTCGTGAGGTACTCGTTCCAGATCACACGGATCTCCTGTAAATACTCGGGCGCCATGGGGATCCTGATGGCGTAGTTCCTGGGTCCCTTGAGCTGCATCTCCCGGACGTGCTCACGGAGTTCCTGCGGAAGTTGGCCCTTCAACTCCAAGACCATTTCGGTGGCCTCGGTCCTGTTCATCCCCTTGGAGGATGTGTACTCCCACTCGCACAGCCCCATGATCTCGACGAAAATGGCACGCCAGGAGCTCGCAGGCTGAGCCGTCTCGAGCTTCCCGACCCGCTCCTCCAATTCCTTTTGGGACTGTTTGATGCCCGTGACGTCCCCCTTCAAGGTCTGGACATCTTGTTTGATCGGGGTCAACATCTCCTTCATCTTATCTTCCTGCTTTTCCAACAAGCTCTCCTCAGCGCTCGACCACCATGCCGGAGGTGAAGCCATCGTGAGAGAAGTATGAGACGAAGGATGTGGTAAGGTGTGGCCAGGTGTGGTCTGTACTTATGCTGCGTTCTCACCTGAAATC